ATAGCAAATAAGAGTGGATTTTCAGAGTTCAATTTGAGATTCTTCATGAAAACTTTCAGACCAGAGGTTAATTCTTTGGCTTTAGAAGTTGCTTAGTACTGCATGTCTCTAGATTTGCAAAGCAAACTCATAAAAGACTATATGGTTAACATTCTTGTTACACCTATATAAACAATAAGGCCAAACATAATGAGACCAGTCTTTCTGTGATCAAAAATAATCTTTGAAGATTAAGATCACAAGAGGGAATATTGTCAGAAAAAGAACATCTAAGACTTGCAAAAGAACAAAAGAGATTAATTACTTAGCGCCCTCTCAGTGTAGTGCTGGGTGTTGTCTAGCAGATTCTCTGAGGATTATCTGATAGGCAGCCAAAGTGCGTGCCTTTGATTGACTGCCTAAGGACTAAGGCATTTTACAACTCTGCAGGTATAGCTGTTAAGTTATAGAATAGCTATGGAACTCTATAATAGCATATGCAATGCAATGGAATATGCTAATAGCAATACAAATTATTCCTACTAATCACAATGCAAATGAAGTCTGTTCAGCAGAGAATATAAATCTCTATACTTCAGATTCTTGCTTGAAACCAGTCCTAACACCTCGTTGGCTCCTTCCTGAGTTAATGAGCTCAGTAAAATCTTTGGCATTTGTTCACTTAATAATGATAAAGGAAAAGATTCATAAGTTCATCTGTGTTAAATTAAGAATTCAACTCATCAAAAATCATTATTCTATTCTATTCTATTCCATTCCATTCCATTCTATTCTATTCTATTCTATTCTATTCTATTCTATTCTTCTATTCTATTCTATTCTATTCTTGTCTAGTCTATCCTATTATATTCTGTTCACCATAAGTAAGTGTAAAGAATACCCTTCAGCAGTGAAAATAAATAAACATAAATAAATGTTTTAAAATAACATTGTTGGGCGACTATGGCAAGTTATAAAAGAATACATATGTATAATTCAGTTCAAAATTCATGAAAACAAATACATTGTTTAAGAACGTTATGTACATTTCTTCAAAAACATCAATAAATGCAATTTAAAAACTTAAACCTTAGAACAGACACTGGAGTATGTGGGATTTTTTTTTGTTTTTTGAGACAGGGTTTCACTCTGTCCCCAAGGCTGGAATGCAGTGGTGTGATCACAGCTCACTGTAGCCTCAACCTCCCCAGGTTCAGATGATCCTCCCACCTCAGCCCTCCTAGTAATTGGGAGCATGTCACTATATCTAGCTAATTTTTCATTTTTTGTAGAGATGGGGTTTCATCATGTGGCCCAGGCTGGTTTCAAACTCCTGGGCTCAAGCAACCTGCCAGCCTCAGTCTCCCAAAGTGTTGGGATTACAGGTGTGAGCCACCGCATGTTAGTGGCTCACACCTGTAATCCGCATGTTAACACCGAATGTTAGTAGTTATCACCAGGTCTAAGATAATGGATGATTTTTATTTTCTTCTTTTTGTTCATTTCTGTTTTACAAAATTTTAAAACATAAACATGTTTTTAAACATGTATTACTTTTGCATAAAGAAAAGCAGTAATAAACTTATAGAAGGTATTTTCAATGAATGTAATAGACAAAAACTTAATGTCCAAAATGTATAACAAACTACAAATTAAGAAAAGACAATATCTCATTCATTGAGCACTTAGTATTTGTTATTCAATACAGACAGCGCTTTACATGTATTATATCATTTACTCCTTCTAACAACCGTCTCATGTATACACTATTTTCTTTCCATTTACAGATGAGGAAGCTGAGACTCAGAGAAGTTAGTCTACTTGCCCATCGTCACTGAGTTGATAAAGAATAGTACTGTAATTGAAACCCTGCAGTCTGACTCCAGAGCCTGCTGCACTACACAATACTAACAACAAATTCATGAAAAGATGTTAAACTCTCTAGCAACCAGGGAATTGCAAATGAAACAATAAATAATGGTGCCAAGTTTCATCTATGAGATGGGTAGACACATCAGAATGTTTGAGATAGATAAACGATGTCGAGCATTGGTGAGGATGAGAGTTGTTGTTGGTATAACTACATGGAAACATCATTTGGGAGTATCTAATAAACTGGAAATTTCTTTGATTCTGCAATCTGCAAAGTCTACTTCTATGATTAAAAAAATGCATACATATGGAGAAATGCCCAAAGACGTTTGTTGTAGAATTATTTAAATAGTGAAAAATTGGAAATAAACAAATATTCAACAATGGTAACTTGGATAAATGAAATAAGCTCAAATGCTTATTGAAGAGAATGAGCTACTCCTATAATTATCAAATGAGTAGATGATTGTCCAATCAGAAGAAACTTCCAGCTTTCCCTACAGTAAGTTTGTACAAATATAGTGTAATTAATGTAAATATTCCAGAAATTGTATGCTGCATGAGAAGGCGAGTTAAAATTTTTTTCTGAGGCAGGGCGCGGTGGCTCACGCCTATAATCCCAGCACTTTGGGAGGCCGAGATGGGCGGATCACGACGTCAGGAGATCCAGACCAACACAGTGAAAACCCGTCTCTACTAAAAATACAAAAAATTAGCCGGGCGTGGTGGCTGGTGCCTGTAGTCCCAGCTACTCAGGAGGCTGAGGCAGGAGAATGGCGTGAACCCAGGAGGCGGAGCTTGCAGTGAGCTGAGATCTCACCACTGCACTCCAGCGTGGGAGACAGAGCAAGCCTCCGTCTCAAAAAAAAAAAAAAAAAAAAAAAAAAGGAAAGAAAGAAAAAAAATTCTGAAATATACTGACATCATGCTATCACTTAAAAAATGTAAACACACACGGGAACAAGTCTATGCATTGCTCAAGGATGCAGTTGTGGTTGATTGGGGGAGTTCGAGGTGTTCAAAGTGCACTTCAACTTTATTTGTTATTATTTAATTCTTTTTTAAAAATAAAGAAAAAAAGACAGGCAAAATGGCAAACATGGCAAAATGTTAACAAATATTTCTTTTAGGTAGGGGAAAATGAAATCTTTGTCATATAATTTTCTGTAATCTCTATTTCTGTATCTGTTATTTATCTCTGTATCTATCTAGTGATATATGCATATAGATGTGCATAATGCACACATATATTTTTCTTTTATGAAATGTATATACAGGTTGAGTATCCCTAATTCAAACATCCAAACTCTGAAATCCTCCAAAATCTGAAATCTTTCGAGTGCTGACTTGATGCTCTAAGAAATGCTCATAGGAGTATTCAGATTTTGGATTTTCGGATTAGGGATGCTGAACCAGTAAGTGTAATACAAATATTCCAAAATCTAAAAAAAGTCCAAATCTGAAATGCTTCTGGTTCCAAGTATATCTGATAAAGGATAATCAACCTGTATCTGTTTTCTCAAATAAAAATGACATTTATTTACTTACTTTTTAGATTTTTTAATTTTGAGTTTTTATGGGTACATAGTAGGGGGATATATTTATGGGGTACATGAGAGATTTTGGTACAGGCAAGCAATCCATAATAATCACATCATGGAAAATGGGGTATCTATCCTCTCAATCATTTATCCTTTGTTTTACAAACAATCCAATTCCACTCTTTTAGTTATATTTAAATGTATAATTAAATTATTACTAATTATAGTCTCCCTTTTGTGCTATCAAACACTGTGTCTTATTTATTCTTTCTATTTTTCTGTAACCACTAACGATCCCCACCTCCTCTGCTAGACTATCCTTCTATTCTCTACTTCCATAAGTTCAATTGTTTAGATTTTTTTAGATCCCATAAATAAGTGAGAACATGTAAAGTTCGTCTTTCTGTGCCTGCCTTATTTCCCTTAACATAATAAGCTCCAGTTCCATCCACGTTGTTGCAAGTGACAGAACCTCATTATTTTTTACGGCTGAATATTACTTCATTGTGTATACGTACCACATTTTCTTTATCCATTCATCTGTTGATGGACATTTAGGTTGCTTCCAAATCTTGGCCCTTGTGAATAGTGCTGAAACAAACATGGGAGTGCAGTATCTCTTCAATATACCGATTTCCTGTCTTTGGGGTGTAGACCCAGCAGTGGGGTTGCTTGCTGCACCATATGGTAGCTCTGTTTTTAATTTTTTGAGAAACTTCCAAACTGTTCTCCATAGTGGTTGTAGTAATTTACATTTCCACCAACAGTGTTTGAGGGTTTCCTTTTCTCCGCATCCTCACCAGCATTTGTTAGTCCCTGACTTTTGGATAAAAGCCATTTTAACTGGGGTGAGATGATATCTCACTGTAGTTTTGACTTGCATTTCTCTGATGATCAGTGATGTTGAGCACCTTTTCATATGCCTGTTTGTCATATGTATGCCTCCTTTTGAGAAATGTCTATTCAAATATTTTGCCCCCAAAAACGAGATTTAAAGTGTAAATTTTAAACTGATCAGGTAGGAATCAGTACTACAAACTGAGCCCAGAGCAGACTAGACTAGTTGTTAGCCATATTGTTATACATATATGTCTAAAACCACTCTAGCTCTGATTTTATAGGCACCTAGTACAAAAAGCAATGCTAAATATTACTTGTGTTTGTCGGACAGTAATGCAAGACTATGTCCCTGCATAATCTGCCTGCTTTTTATGTCATTTTCACCCCAAATGACTCTTTATGTGGTTTTCACACTGAGAAAGAGCACGTGTGCATGTTAAACATGTGAGTGCCATTATGCTGAACTGACATACACTTCCAGAGGTAAGGAGAGAACCCAGGAAAAGCAATGGCCATGAACCGCAAGGACATAGTCTCTGTAAAGAAATCCTTTGCCTTCAATACTCAACTGAGTCTTTGGGTGGTGGGAGCTGAAAATTTTTCAGCCAGTGATAGAGGACTTCCCAGTTAGGGGTGGCCACACCCTCTTCTGGCTGCTTACAGCCGCAGGAAGACTCAGGTTGGTCAGAACTGAGGTAACTGGACGATATCAAATGAGCCCATCCAGTCTGCCCATGACTATGCACAACTCTGAAACATCCTGAGTCATTAAGCTGTCCTTCTGACTCTAAGTATTTTCAGAAAGGCCTCCTTTACATCCTTGTTCCTGAGGCTGTAGATGATGGGATTGAGGAAGGCAGAGACAACATTGTAGAACAGCGCTAGTTTCTTGTCCCGCTTCGGGTCATACCAGGAACTCGGCCTCATGTACATGATGATGGCTGTCCCATAGAACATGATGACCACGGTGACATGGGAAGCACATGTGGAGAAGGACTTGAGCCTCCCCTGTGCTGAGCGGATTCTGAAGATGGAGGTAAAGATGCGGACATAAGAGGCCAGGATGAGGGAGAGTGGGACCAAAAGCAGGATGAAACCCAAGATGAAGTCCAGCCTGTCATTAAAAGATGTGTCTGCACAAGCCAACTTCAGGACAGCAGGGACCTCACAGAAGAAGTGGTTTATCTTGTAGGGGCCACAATAAGGCAGATGCATGGTGAAGACAGTGTAGACCAGTGCCCCAGTGATGCCAATGGACCAACAGACAATGACCATCTTGATACAAATGGAATGGCTCATGAGTAGGGTATAGTGAAATGGCAACATACCTGTCATAGGCCATAATGGCATAGAGGACGCACTCAGCAATGCCCAGGACCAAGAAGATGAACATCTGGGCTACACAAGCTCCCCAGGAGATGGTCCTCCTTGGGCATACCATATTAACCAAAATCTGGGGCACAGTGGTAGTGACATAGCTCATGTCCACCAAAGAAAGGACACTGAGAAAAAAGTACATGGGCATATGGAGGTGTGAGTCCAGGTAGATCAGCATGATGATGAGTCCATTGCCCAGAAGGGTGATGAGGTAGAGGAGAAGGAAGAAGGCAAACAGGGCCATTCTGACCTGTGCCTCACTGGGGAAGCCAAGGAGGATGAACTCAGACACAGAGCTGTGGTTTTTCTTGCCAAGGCTCTGCATGGTGATCTGCCTATTAAGGAGAGACAAGGACTTCCTTGTTCTGTCCCTTCCTTGGGAAAGGAAGGCTGGGATTGACAGAAACTGAGCTACACACAGCACGGTGCACAGTAACTCGCACAGATTAAATCAAACCTTTGTTGAGTTGGATGAAAAGGACAAGGAAGCCAGGAGTGAGTAGATGCCTCTGCTGAAAATCTAATTATGACCTGTGGGGGCTTAGGGTACTGTCAACCAGAGGTAATGTGGTGGCAACCCAAGGTCACAGGGCGACTCAGGTGATGGAGGAGAAGAAAATGAAGGTCTTCCAGAGATGATAAAAGACATGTTAAGCAGCAGAGGGGAGAGATCCTACCACCCTGAGCACCTGAGACACAGGCCTGCCCTGGTTCCTGGCTTGCTATTCCCACTTTCCCTGAGGCCTGTCTGGGCTTCATTTCTTGTACTTGGATCTAAGTGAAATTTTATGTTGAATCCTTGCAGCTGCCACTTCGTGACCACATTTTTAACTCAACTGTTCCTGGGTGTCCATGGTTGTCACTCACCCAGCTGCTTGACCTTCGGCAAGTCCCTTCACCTCCATTGGCCTCAGTCTCCCCATCTGTTAAATAGAGATGGAACATCTAGGCACAGGATTATGGCAAGGAACCTATGAGATACTGTATGTCAAGACATTTTGCAAAATATAAATCACTTGGCAAATAAAAGGGCTTAGGATAAGTGGGATGAGTCTGGAAATCAGAAGAACTCAGGACTAATCTTGCCTCTGCCTCTGATTTTCTGTGGGATCTTGGGTAACTCCATATCCTTCTCTGAGCTTCAGAGTCCCGTTTAAAAAAAATGAAGCTGTTGGATTCCAGAGGGTCCTTCTAGCTCTGATGTTCTTTGATACCAGGAACACCAGGCTAGAGACCCATGATCGCATCAGTGCCTGAGCACCAAGAGGTGGGCTGAGCTCAACAGGGTTATACTGGCAGGAGACTTCCCATGGGAGCTAGAGATATGTCCAGAGCATTGGAGAATACCTAGAGCATAGTCTCAGGCATCAGCACTCTGGAGTCTAGTGGTCTCTTCTCCTATTCCCAAGTCACACAGCCTCTCACTTAAGCCTCTTCACCTACTCCCAAATCATTTAGCCTCCCAGGTCTTTCATGTGTAAAATGGGAGTAGTATCTCCTCCATAGTGAAGATTCCATGAAATATACCTGGTTTATAGAAATTGCTTAATAAGTGGAAGCAATTTAGATCCTAGGAAGCTTGGGTGGAAGGAGGAGTGGAGAGAGGAAAGAGTAGGTACAGGTGCATTCTCAAGCGTCTGAGCTTCCAAACAACAGGGCTGAAAACATTATCATTAGGGCTGACAGCCATGACTGACAGTGAAGGTGAGGAAGCTGGAAAAATTGACTGAGGCTGAATGGGCAAAAGAAGACAGTGTCAGATGCGTGTTCTGTGCTTTAAGGAACACCAATAATTGGATGAAAGATAAAAATGTCCCAGATAAGGAATGTTTGTGAAGGTTAGAGGAGACCTAGGGCAGCTCAGGGTCTTGGACATTGGGAGGGATAACTTTTCAAGAGATAAGGACTGGTCAGCAGTGAGGATTGCAAACCCTGGCACCAGGATGATGAGGGCTGAGAACTAGGAGGCGCCCACATCATCCTTTCCCCCAATCCACACCCCAGACCTGGACTCATGCAGAGGCCTTCTGTGGGCCTCCCTTCATCACCTCCACCAGCAGATACTGTCTCAGCTATCATTCCTCGTCTCACATCTCCTTAGACTGGAACTCCAGGCTTTTCCCAATCTGGTTCTAACCACTTTTCAAGTCGGTGCAACTCTCCATTTATCTCCGTAAGACTTCTGAGCCATGATCCTAACACATGACCACCAAAGGGATCCTGGTCTGGGCAGCTGGGATCCCCCATCTCTGATCCACAAATCCTCCATGCTAGCTGGGCAGCTGAGATCCCCCATCTTGGAGCCACAAATCCTCCATGCTAGCTGGCTTCCTCAGTGCTTGCCATGCATGCCACCACCTTCTGCTCTAGCTGTTCTTCTGTTGGGAATGTCTTCTCTAATCCTTTCTGCTGCCTCAGCTCCCACCCTTCCAGGTTCAGCTTGGCTTCCTCCTTACCTGACCGGTCCAGCCTTGTTTATTTTATGTGCATATTGTCTTCCCCGCCTGGCTGAAGGCAGAGGCCGTGTCTCTTTCATACCTCTCCCTAGTATTAGTTTGCAGCAGCTGGCAGATCCAGGGGTCCTATTTGCATCAGAATGGGGTTGAAGAGTAGATTTCTAGCCCCTGAAAAGCCCTGGGGATTCCCTGTCCATGTGGTAAATGCAGCACAGAACACCTTAGCTGGATGCAATAAACAGCCAGAAAGTTTAATGCTCCCAGGACATTTCGGGCTTGGAGCTGGTGAGCTGGGTATCTTTCTGAAGTTCCCACTGGGGACTGAAATTTTTTCCCACTGAGACTTAGAGGAGGGACAGGTCCTGTGGTTGAATGGCCACATCCCTGTGTGACACGGTGATAACACTATCATAATAAAACGTGCTTTGTTTCCTCCCAAACAGTTTTTTGTGCCTTTTACATCCTCAGGCATCTTATCCAAGTCCACACACCCAATAGAGAGAAAACTAAGGCTTGGATACAGATACAGTAGGGCCCCCTTATGCATGGGGGATCCGTTCCAAGACCCCCAGTGGATGCCTGAAATCACAGACAGTAAAAAACTCTATATACACCACAATTTTCCTATACACACATACCTATGATGAAGTTTAATTTCTAAATTAGGCACAGTAAGAGATTAACAGCAACTAATGATAATAAAATAGAATAATTATAACAATATACTGTAGTGAACGTGGTCTCCCCCTAAATATCTTACTACACTGTACTCATCTTCTTGTGACCATGTGAGATGACAAAATGCCTACATGATGAGAGGAAATGAGGTGGGTGATGTAGACATGATAGCATAGCTTTAGGCTGCTACTGACCTTGAATATGAGCACAGCAATACCACCACAGTCAATCTGTAGCCAAGATGCCTACTGAGGTACTAACAGCCAGGTAGTGTAGACAGTGCAGATACGTTGGGCAAAGGATGATTTGTGTCCTGGGTGGGATGGAATAGGACAGCATGAGATTTCCTGCTGAAATGAAATCTCAGAATGGCATGCAATTTAAAACTTATGAATTGTTTATTTCTGGAATTTTCCATTTAATATTTTTGGGCCATGGTTGACTGCAGGTTACTAAAACCACTGATAAGGGGGAACCATTGTTATAGAAATACTACTCATGTTTACTAGTGTTCTGTAACTACCATTTATTGAAGACTATTTTCCTTAGATGTCTACTCAAGTCCACACACCTCACTGTGGTATAAATGCTACCAAATCTATTACTATAACAATGGCTACTTATTATTGAACAGCCTCTCTTATCAGATGACCCACTGGGAACTACACACAATGTTATTAATTCTCACAACACAGTCAATATGTCATTTGATAGAACAGAAGACTCAGAAAGGTTAAGATAATTAAGTGGTTCACACTTAATTGATGTTGCTGACACCACGCGGCAGATAAATTGTATATCCAAAATTTGAACTTGGATCTGTTAGATTCCGTATCATTCTACTGCAGCACTTCTTTCTTTCTTTTCTTTTATTTTCTTTTTTTGAGACAGTCCTGTTCTGTCACCAGGCTGGAGTGCAATGGCGTAATCTTGGCTCATTGCAACCTCTGCCTCCCAGGTTCAAGTGATTATTTTGCCTCAGCCTCCCAAGTAGCTGGGACTACAGGCATGTGCCACCATGCCCAGCTAATTTTTGTATTTTTAGTGGAGATGGGGTTTCACCATGTTGGCCAGGATGGTCTCGATCTTTTGACCTCGTGATCTTCCCATCTTGGCCTCCCAAAGCACTGGGATTACAGGCGTGAGCCACCCCGCCCAGCCTTTACTGCAGCGTTTCTATGACTGAGGTGCAATACTGGTTCAGAGGGTGCATGTAGTCAGGCTGTAGAATTATATGATTGAGTGTAGGAGCCAGATGGTCAAAAGGCCAGGGCAGCTGTGCAGCCTTCCTTGATCCACTTGGAGGACACTCTCCCCACCTGAGTGCTCTCCTGAGTCTTTCTAGAATTCCAAGAGAGAAAGGCAAGAGACCGGCTTGGTCTCATTAACTGCTGCAAGACAGGGCTTACTGGAAAAGAACCTGCCTCATGGATGGGAGGCATTGATCAACTGTGACAGGCGGCCTCCTGCAGCAAGGTAAAATTCAAATTATTATTTTTAAAATTTATTTTAAAAAATTATTAATTTTTAATTCACAAATAAAAATTATTTGTTTCAGAATGTACAACATGATGTTTTGAAGTATGTATACATTGTTGAATGGTTAAATTGAGCTGATTAACATATGTATTAACTCACTTTTTTTGTGGTGAGAACACTAAAAAGTACTCTCTTAGCAATTTTCAAATATACAATACATTGTTATTAACATATCCTCACCATGGCATGCAATTGATCTCGTAAACTTACTCTTCCTGTCTAACTAAAACTTTGTATCCTTTGACCAACATCTCCCCCATTCTGCCCTCCTCATCCCTTACCAAACCAGCCCTGGCCATCACCATTCTGCTCTCTACTTCTATGAGTTCAACCTTTTTGGATTTCACATATAAGTGAGATCATGTGGAATTTGTCTTTCTGTGTATGGCTTACTTAACATAACATCCTCCAGGTTCATCTGTGTTGTTGCAAATAACAGGATCTACTTCCTTTTTAAGGCTACCTAGTACTCCATGGTGTGTATATACAAATTCCACACTTTCTTTATCCATTCATCCAGTGAAGGTCACTAAGGTTGATTCCATGTCTTAACTAATGTGAATAATGCTGCAATGAAGATAGGAATGCAGATATCTCTTCAACAGACTGATGTTATTTTCTCTGGATGTATTCCCAGTAGTGGGATGGCTGGATTATACTGTAGCTCTATTTTTAGTTTCTGAGGAACTTTCATGCAGTTTTCCATAATGGCTGTACTAATTTACATTCTCA